CAAGTAGTTTAGGGAATGATGGTATTGGTATTTAACTTTTGGGAGCCTTATTACATGCATCCCTTGAGACATTAATTCCTAAAAACATCTAGGAGCATCTGAGATAATCTGCCAAATAGAGCATCTTTGCCACTGGAAGACATGTATGTCTTCAAAGTGCTTTTCCTGGAAGTTTGTACTACTACATTCTTGGGTTTGTCAAACAAGAAAAATTTGCTTGAATTGTTAGCAAGAAATTTGCCGGAAAATATGTTATGGCTGCATTTTATAGTTTTCTCTCTCTTGCCTACTGCTTTGTTTTAAGTTGGAAAATATAGTCCTAAAAGCACAGTCAGAGGCTCAAAATTAGGGGTGCAGAAAGCTGAACCCCACTATCCAGGAGATGATGGCAGATGGCAATCTTAGATTTCATCAGGTTTTACCAGGATAGCCTACAAGCCTGAGAGCCAGGACACAGGTGGCTCTGCATTTCTGACTCCTCTAACACAAAAGTCCTGGTATTTTCCAAGTCCTCAAATCTCACAGGTCCTCTGACTGGGCAAAGCAGAACCTTGTGTAATAGTCTGGTCAATACAGCCTCATCTCTTTATGTAACAGTGAGTATGCAACTACCACAAAACCACTTAACATTCCGCAGCTCCTAATTCCCTGCTTCATTCTTCATCTTCATCTAATAGCCTTTGCTTGCCAAGAGTTCCACCCCATCCCCCATTCCCCCCATGACAAATGCCAACTTTGTTTACTTGGGAAACTGATGATTTTGGCCACAGCCCATACAAAGTCTGGAGCTCTCTCCAAGCCTCAAACTCAGACCCTAGGGATATGTCAAAGTAATAGAGTCAGAAATAGCTCTGTATTTCTTCAGTAACAGATATGCAGCCTTTGGGGAATAGTTGAAATTCTTCAGAAGTAAAAAGCAGGCAAGGAAATGGGGGAAGATTAAATGGAGCAAAATGAGTCCTCCTTTAGGTTTCTGAGGATGGAGAAAGCAGTGTTAGGCTTGAAATGGGGACTAGAGAGAAAGAGAAGCACAGGATTTGCTGTAAATTTTGCAGTTATTCTGAGCTGTTGTAATCTGCTGTTTGACCTGTTCCTCCTCCCTCTGCCTTTCGAGCTTTAAGTAGTATTTTGAAAGACAGCAGGTGGGGTGAGGAGGCTTAATGTCCAAAGCCCTAGGTTTGACATACCTAGACTGTCTATATTTGCACACTTGTTAATCCTGATAAAGCCTGTTGAGCTACTCTCCTGATGTCAGGTTGAGTTTAGAGATCTTTCAGGAGACAAGAGGCTGCTTATTGTGCGTAGGCACTTAGTAGTGTCCTCAGCACTCCACGTAAGATGATGAGTTCACTCATCGTAAGGTTTTGCAGGGATAGAAATCTCCTTTTCTTTCCACGTGCATAGCCATAGCTGTGGGAGATGACTGGCTCGCTACCCCAGCAGCACTGCATCAACACAGTTAGGAGATCACGTTTGGGTAAGAGCTAGGCAACCAAAATGCTGAGCTCAGATCGTTCTGGCTGAACCTTGAATTACCATGCCTTTTTAAGCTGTATATTCACAGCTGACAAGTCAATTATTGTTAAACTGTATTCAAATAGTCTGAAGCTGTGAAAAGTTTTTTAAGGACCCGTGAAGATTAGAAACTCTATTCTGAGAACGAAAGGGTAATGCCCTCCTACGGGTCCAGGGCATTAATAGCTGCTGTCTAACGCTGGGGTCCCTCACTGCCCAGCTTTGCCCTCTCACAACACACATCCCTGTCCTCACCAAACAAAAGTAAGCAGCCTGCAGCAACTGCACGTAGGCTGACGTTCTGAAGCAAAAAAAAATCTCATAAAAAGATAAAAATAAATTACTTTCTCCTCAGGAGAACTAATGAACAACTGAAATGAGGCCTGGGTACTAGGCAGGAGCAGTCAGGGCTGGTGGTGCCCTCGGGGCCATGAGGATCAGTTTTATATCATCAGCAAATTCTCCTTCCAGTTTTGGAGCTTTCTTTTGCCTTTGTTTTGTGAATCAAACTGTTCCAAGAGGCTTAAAAAAAAAAATCACTCATCAGTGAAAGCAAAACAAGTTACAAAAACCCAGAATCAAAGGGCACAAATGTATGCACAACCACAACGCATCCTTAAGCTTCAAGTTAATCTGGTCGAGCCATTAAGAGAGTAAAAAAAGAGTACATATTTTTATTAAGTGTACTATGTTAAGCAGAAAGTTCAGAAGACTTTGGGGCATGTAACAGAAGTTTTGAACCCATTTTTTTGGTGTGTCTCTCTGTCCTACTCCTCAAAAGTGCATTAGGAGATTTCTGCCCCCCCTATTTCACAGCACAGAGTAATAACAGAGTAAAGCACCAGAAGTAAATAATTTATATCTTCCACCACTGCTAATCAGCTCTGCTTATGATGTTGTTGAGGTTTTTTTCATCTATATTATTATTTTATTATATTATTTTTATGGTAGCCTTTGCTTGTGAATTACTGACTTCCTAACGAGCAACAGATAGTTACTGTGCACAGAGTGAAGTTTTATAGAGCCCAGAGACACATAAGGACATACCTAGATACTTGCATTGTGAATGGTTATAGAGCAGTAGACAGGTAAATCAGCACAGCAGTATTCTTTTAATAACATCATAACACATTTATTGTATTATTTGTTGTACTCATGGAACTAGAGGATGATGTTCAGAGGCTGTTACCTTTTTTTTCATTCTTTAATGCACTATTGTAAAGCTCTTGGATGCCAGTGTAAAAAGTGAAGTATTTCTCCTTATCTGAGAAAGCTCTGTATATGTGTAATAAGATCACCATAGCCTTCTGCATCACATAAATGTTTTATTTTCTGCCTACAATGTATGTTTTTTGGTGTAGAAAGGAAGAAACCAGTACACTTCTCATCAATGTTTTTGTGCAATGCTTCTGATTCCACATCATGTAGATAAATGTCTGCCTTCTCAGGATTTCTGTTCCTGGTGCCCTGGCTGCTGAGTTTAACATGCCACCCATGATCTTTGCATGTCTACAGAATGTGACTGGGGCTTCCCTGGCAACTATAATTCCTCAAATGTTTTTTAGAGGTGGGAGTTTTTTTGACCTTGGCCTTCAGTCCCTTCCTGCTTGGGACAGGCCAAACAATACACCAGATCAGAATTAAATATCCAAATACATTAAGATAATTATTACATTGTCCAAACTTCTGATATTTTGTCAGAGCAAAAACAGCGGCATCAAGATGTAGGAAGAATGCAAACAAAATACTACTTTCCAAAATCCAAAGTGAAATGTAAGGGAGAAAGAAGAAAATTGATCTGGTCATGGACACCCAGCAAGCTTAAAATTAATTTGTAGTTTCAATAAGTAGTATGAAATGCAATAAAAAAGCAGCAATGTGAAATGCTTCTAACCACATTCTTAATAGACCTATCAAATCAGATGATGGAAATGTAAAATAAACCTTGCCCTCCAGTAAAATACTTGACGAGATGTTTCTCGAAATAATACTTGCAAAATTGAAATTCAAGCTGGTGTGCCAAAAAGCATAAAATTTGTGGTACATGATGTGTCATTTTTTGGTAAAGCACCTGCTTTTAATACTGGGCCTAATCTTGTTTGAAACCTACACGCAGCTACTGCCAAATTTCATTTAATTCCAAACAGTGGTTGAATGGTGTCTTTGCTGTGATTGCAATTAGAGTAAATCCAGCAACGACAGCAGCATCTGAACAGAGAATCTGGGAAGCAATGGTCAGTCTGCACAAGTTATGCACTCACCATTTCTGCATGTACATTGTGTTTGAATCCAGTGTGTTTGAAACTTTGGATTTATATCTTAGGTGACACTCTGCTGAAGAGCCCTGCAAAGAAATCAAAACAAGCACTCCAAGTATGGCAATGAGTCACACCACACCTTTATAGGATTTCTTTTCCTTCAGTCTAGTACAGTCTCAAGGACAGATTAGAGCCTGCTGATTGCAAAACTTCAATGGCAAGACGTGTATTGATATATGACAATAAAAATAAGTAACATGCTAAACCTACTAGATACTCATCCAACCTTCTCAATCACAAGCCATCTGAAACTGATGACAGTCTTTCCAAGATTTTCCAAGCAATTGGATTCTGATCAATGTAAAGATCACAAGATTAAATTTACCAGCTGTTCATTATTTTTATATGCACATGAGAAACAGTTGGAGCAAGTACTCTCCAAATTCAGCAACTGTTTCTTCCATCCTCACAACATTTTTACAGCAACAGAGGAACTGTCACAGTAGCTTGGACCACCTGACCATGAAGGCCTGTCCTTGACAGGATTCCATCAGTAGCTTCGGAGAAGAAAGCAGAAAATATGGAATAAAATCAATCTGGAATGTTCTTTC